ATACCAAACTGTTGCATATTGTAACGGTGCAGACCAGAACAAGAACCGACCTCTCTAACAAAGTACAAGATAGCGCACCGGAAAACTTAGATACCAATGATCCGAACAATCAATTTTGCAATGCAGCCCAGAACATACATCATCATCATCATCTCCATGGTGTGAAGGGGTCTGGCGCTCACAAAGGAAGAATGCGCCAGCCCCAACCATACACAGACGAAGAAGAGGGGAAGATGGGAAGATGGGAATGTCGTCAACACCAAGTCTTCGGCACAGGCCCAAATAGTCCCTCGTCAAAATGTCTGAATCCCAATGTCGACTCTGGATCCAATGTCGTCAAGTCTCAAGTCATAACTCTCTCTCTCTCTGTCGTAGTCCGCTGATACTGAGAAGTTAGGTGGTGAGAGGGGAAGAAGAGATGGTGGACTTAGAAGAGGAAGAAGAAGAACTCTCTCTCTCTCTCTCAGTCCGGTACTAACCTGTGAAGTTGGCGCCTTGATGCAGGTACCTCGAAGATGGAGCTGGAGCTATGGCGCCACAGGGAAGTCTTACTGGCCTCCGCCAGTCATCTCTCCCAACTCTACTACTACAACCTACTAGCGCCCAGCGCTGAAGACTACTGCTATGGCTACTAGCGCCCAGCGCTGAAGACTACTGCTAGCGCTAAGCTACTCTGCAGCGCTCCTCCTGAGTGCTGCGGCCAAATCCTGAAGACTACTCCTGCCTACTGTCCAACTACCTCCCGTGAAGTGCATGGGAACTCCCTATGTACTTCTCGGCCTGCCTCCTGACTGCAGGGCGAGGCAGTCCAGGAGGCTGCTCTTGCCAATGCCGCAGGGAGTCGGGGCTGCTGCTGCAGCTCCTGCTTGAGGCTGTCGTGGGAACAGGCTAAATATAGCCTGTTCCCGAAACCCTGGTTTTGTGCCTGAGTGTTAGGACAGGTCGATCTTATGGGGGCCCGAAACTGGCCCTCCGTTTCAAGCTGAAAAGCCTCAGGGCTGAAAAGCCCTGTTTTAGGCTGAAACAACATAGGGCCTGCAGGCCCTCGTTTTTCAGTCTTTCAGGCTGAAACAACAGGGGCCTGTAAGCCCTTATTCCTAGGCTTTTAGGCTGGGAATGCGGGACGGGCCCTGCAGGCCCGTGTGGCTACGCAGTATGCCACAACGGGCCAGCACTATATAAGACTGGCCCGCCCTGCAGGCTGCAGGCAGTCAGAGACAGTCACGAGGTAGTTCATAGGAACTTCCCAGGGACTTCACGTGCAGGAGGCAGAAGGCAGGAGTAATCTTCAGGATTCGGCAGCAGCACTCTGGAGGAGCGCTGCCGGAGTAGCTTCAGCGCTGGGCGCTAGTAGCTGTAGTGGTAGTCTTCAGCGCTGGGCGCTGGTAGGAGTAGAGTAGTGTTGGAGAGAGAGACGGCTGGCGGAGGCCAGGGAGACTTACCTGTGGCGCCATAGCTCCAGCTTCATCTTCGAGGTACCTGCATCAAGGCGCCAACTTCACAGGTTAGTACCGGAGAGAGAGAGAGAGAGAGAGAGAGA